ACGAGTGGAACAAGGAGCACCCTGGCCCCCCAGGCAGCCTTATTTTCAGTGTCCAATGCGGCCCAAGTGTCGTGTGCAGCGTAGAAGCGACCAAGACACTGGCAGCAGGGATTTTTCAGTTCTTGTAGCATGACGTAGCTGACGTAGCTATACATTAGTACCAGCTCAAGCCATGCCCAGAATCTAGACGAGGCTCATGAGGGCGAAGCCTTGACCCGTACCGCTGAGAGAAGCCAAGAACCCAAGAACTCAGGTACGAGCAAGCCGGGGCTGACGTGAAAGAGTCGCTGAGCGGCTGGGCCAAGCAGCAGGAGGCCGCGCTCGCCGAAGACCAGGACGCCTCCTTTGGTTCTGAAGAATTGAAATGTGTATCACGCACAAGCTACAGATCTAAACTAGTGTTGCTTTTAAAGTGCCTAGGGACACTCAGACTCGGCGGACCGTCATGTTGTCGACCTGCGGCCAAAGGATTTTCCCACTATTTGGAAGAGATGGAACTTGTAATCTGCGTTTGCGGTAGGTGAAGAGATTGAGACAGACATGTAGCTGCACGCCGACGGCGGTGAGACCTTCCCCTGCCAGGACGAGGTGGACCGCCTCCGCAAGGCTCTTGAGGAGGCACGTCGCTGAGGCAGCGCTGACGGGAATAACAAGAGCTCCCGCAGGGCCACGAAGGTCCACGGCCTGCACTTGCGAACAGCTAGAAGTTCTCGGAAGTCTTACTAGACAAATGTCAGATATCACGTACCGTAATTAGAATCTTAGGCGTGGAAGTTGTAGCAACAAGTTGCACCATGGTTCTGCGGACCATGCGTCATGTCGCACCTCAGCTCCGAGCGAAAGCCGCAGGACTCAGCATACTCAGCAATACACATCCTCGACGGAGCAAAAGTATGGAATCTGCACCAGATGCGCAGCAAGAATTATCATGGCTCATGGTAAAAAACCAGCAGATCCAACCGTTAGGTATTGAGTAAATGGCAGGGGGTATCGCGAGCAAAAAAGGCGTTTGTTCCGAGTGTATATGGTGAGAGTATTCGAGTCGCGGAGGCAAAGGGCAGGAGCAGCTGCGTTCTTAACGGCGATGAGAGTAGGTCGCGTGAGTCGGGTCGTGGAAAAGCTGCTTGTGGCAGGGAGTTTGATGTCAAGTGCTGTTGTCAAACTGATGGGCTAGGGCCCTTTTGGTGAGACTGTCTCCCTGTTGTCTCGAAGACCGACGCAACTGGGTTTCAGATGTCAGGCACTTGAGGCCACCAGGCACTTTGCAACCTTATGCAAGGCCCAGAGCCTCAGAAATTCTTCGTTCCTGCAGCGCTCAAGAGCTGCTTCTGATTTTTGATGCAAGTGCCGGGTGCGAATCGGAAAGAGCCGAGACTTTGCACATCTTTGCACCATGCCTTCTTCCTCTCGTCAAACTTATGTCGGCTTAGTGACTAGGTTAGATTGCTCTGCATGCCGAAGAGTGTTGCTCCCGGGCTTTGCGATGGCCGTGCATGTGATGCGCATACCCTTGCTGCATCTTGCTGCTGTTCCTTTGAGAGGGATATTCTTAGCTGGTCGAAGTAAGGGTGGATGTGCGAGGCTGTGGGACTCAGCTTCACTTGTGCGATGTACGCTTTGCAGGATTTTGGTCCAAGTGCCCAGCAGGACCTGCCCTGAACTTGTTCGGTCTCGTGGTTCAGCCACCTGGCCAGCAGTTAAGGGGGACTGGAGTCCACTCTTGAGGCAAGGGGCAGGGCCAAGAAAGCTCGCTGTAAAGATCAGAACAGCGCGCGGCGCGCCAGTGATTGAATTCAATCTGCACGGCCCAGGAATGACGCAGTCCCGGCTGTTGCCCACAGTGCTGCTGGCAGCCTCATCCTGGCTCCTGATCTCGCTCTTCGGTTCCCAGCAGAGCCTTAGCGTTGAAATGAGCAAAATTCCATCTAACTCCGGAGAGGAAAGTATCGCAAACAATGAAGCATACTATTTTTCCAGTTGCCGCAAAAGACAAGGACCTCCTTCCTGACGGGCACTTCGCCGGCAGGATCTTCTCGCCAGAGCCGAACTGCCATGCGAGGCTTCAAGGATGACTTCTACGCATGGAAGGATTCCCTGAGCAAGGATGAGCAGGCCCTGCTCCTGAAGCAGGCCCAGAACGAGTTCGACAAGAAGTTCCGCAAGAGCGACGAGTTCAGCCAGGACCTGCCTGAGGAGAAGATCCAGTCCTTTGCCAAGGTCCTCAAGAAGTTCTTCGACAACGCAGCTCAGCATGCAGTGAATTCCCTTAGATGGATCCTTCGACAATGTGCAAGAACTCCCCTTGCCTTCCGAGGAAAAGGATGACTACAAGAAGGCCACGCCCGGGAAAGTGGGCGCCTTCTTCACGGGTTTCTACCAGCCTTGGACGTCTCATCTGTTATTGTGGCCACTTGAAGGTAATAATTAACAGGTTTGAGCAGCGAACAAGGAAGCCAGAAGGTTCGTATTTCCAGAAAGCATCGTCCTCGTCGTCCGTCGTCGAACCTACAACTCGGCAGCCTAGCTTGAACCGCAGGACGCCGACCAGAGGACGCCCGACTACGACGCCCTGAAGAACAAGGCGGCCCTGGTCTC